CGGTTCAGTCGCCATCTGGGCACAGAAAAAACAGAATTTCCCTATAGATTAGACATGGATAGAGGAAGAAAACAGAGAAAAACCCAAGCAGAGATGTGCGAAATCTGATAAAACCCAACAAATAAAGGCAGAAGTTGAACAAGACGGGGATAGAATGTAAGACATTGGGGGAAGAAAATCAAGAGATTAGAGATACAGCAGACGAGATGGCAGCCATGGCAAACCTAAACCCTAGTTTGCCCATCTAATTGAAATAACCAAAACAGATTTCGTCAAACGAATAAACCAAACACCGGACGTTGTCGAATCAAGACGAAAAGAAGCTAACGATCTGATTCGTGAAGTAGCGAGGAAATCAACGAGACCTAGCTTGCCAATGTACAAAATGAATAAAAAAAACCCTAGTTTTTTGGAGAGAAAAAAAAAACAGAACAGTTTCCATCTGACAGATGGGCTAAACAACAGAAGTTTTCCAATCAAACAGACAAACATCCAACAATCCCAACTCGTGAAGAAACGAAGAAAACAAACCATAAGGGACAAAGCTCACCGATTCACAGAATAAAATCCGTAGCTGAGACGCAGACAGAGACGAAGAAGATGAACAAAGAGCCAAAGAGAGAGAACTGAAGGCTGTCGTCCTACAAACACACAACAACAGGAGAGGACGGAGAAAACCCAGGCGGCGATTATATAATCTTTATGGAGAAAACATGGTCGGCGGATTCCAATCAGGTATTAAAATACTGCAATTTATAACTTTCTTCGAGTCCGAGCAACGCCATCGATATAGAAAGGATTTTAACCTAAGCTACGTGGCAACACACCATTGGACACTGGTGAATATGGGAAAGAAAACACTATAAATAGATAAAAAGAGCAAACAGATGACATAACATGGTTTTAACACAGAGAGTTCGATCATAAACAAAAATACAAATCCCGGGAGGTTATTTCATGTTGTCTTTTGTCTCAGTAGCTCATCCTTAAACAAGACAGAGCATTATTGTTGTTGTGGTTGTTAAAGAAATCGATTTCTTCTAATGTCCGAGGAAAAAAAAAAGAAAGAAAGAAAGATCAATTCTGGCCATAGATCCATTTCTCGGAGTTGCTGGTGAACGAAACGAGTTCTTCGGGTTTGAACCACAGTTTGATCTCGTCTTTCGCGGTCTCTGGTCCGTCGCTTCCGTGGATTATGTTCCTGCGATTCAAACAATGCCCTCGATTAGTTTGTAGTTAAAAAGAACCCGGTTGGGGTTCATATTCCATATGAAATTTTATCGAAGATGGTAGTGTAGATCCACATTTGTAAACTTGTATAGGTTTGAATTCACACTTCAGATGATATTTTGATTAGTTCGAGTTTGTGCGGGTAATATATTTGTATGAGCTGGTGATGAGAAATACCTTCCAACAACAACTGCGAGATCGCCTCGGATTGTTCCTGGTTCAGATTTCTGAGGGTCAGTGGCTCCGATCAGTTTACGCCCGTATCTGATCACTCCTTCTCCTTCCCAAACCTAACAAGCCATAGATCAGATGAGATCAAGATTCAAGACCCAAAAATCTTCAAGGTGGTAATCAATTTTCTGAGTTCAAGGAAGTTTTTTTATTTTATTTACCATGGCAACAACAGGGCCTGAGCTTAGGAATTCACACAAACCGTTGAAGAAGGGTCTTTCCTTCAGATCATGGTAATGCTTTTGTGCAAAATCTTTTGAAGGGACCAAGATTTTGATACCAACAAGCTTGAAGCCCTTGCGCTCGAACCTGGAAATGATTTCTGATATCTGGCAATCATAAGAAAAAGAGTTGAGCATGTGAATAAGACACTACACATATAGGTACACAACTTGGAAGGAAAAAAAAAACAGGAGCATAAGCCGAGCTTTCTATTACCAGTCCTCTCTGCACTCCATCGGGCTTGATAGCAATGAAAGTGCGCTCCATCTGATTTGACACAAAATTTAGTTAAGAGGGCATAAAATTGGAAGCACAACAATGGGTTCCGTCCATGATATATTACCTCAGCTGCATGCACCTCTTGATCTTGGAGCATGAAAGCTATAAACAGAGACCAAAAAGAAAATACAGTGGAAATGCAATGTATTAGTCATCTATTGAAGCCAAGTCAGCATAAACAAAACATGAAGTGCAAGTCTCATCTTCCCCATATGGAGCAACAGCATTGCAAATCACCATATGAAAAATCTTAGATTTTCCAAACTTGCACAAATTTCCTTTGAGGGACATCACTTTCTTGTCAAAAGTATGATTTTCTTTAACCAGATGATGGGAGTGAAGATTTGGTTATAGTCACTCGAGGAGATATTCAGGAAAACAACATCATAAACCAAGTTATATCGTGAAACCTGCAGCAGGAAGAGCAATGAGACCACTGATCCAACTCCTGGAAGCATTCCCAGAAGCCGAGTTTCCAAAGTTTGATGCAAATTGAGGAACCTTTCCACCAACAGAAACCACTGCTGCCGCACCAATGGCTCGGCCTCCTGAAAACAGGTAAGAGCTTAGAACATTATAAAGAGACAAAAAAAAAACAAAGAGGAGCAGATCAAATTATTCTCAAATTTCATGGTGGTAACAGGAAACGAGATCTATCTAAAGCATCACTATTAGACAACAGACCAAGATAAGGACACAAAATCTTAAAAAGTCCAAATCCAATTATGAAGTGTTTGATGCCAAGAAACTGTGTATGGAACACGGTATGATACATACAACATCACGATCGTAAAGACATCAACGATGACGAACGAAAGTGGGGCCCGGCATTATAGCCCAATCAAATAAAGTTCCTTTTTTTCATAGAGATTATAATACTTCATAACAAGGGGTTCAAAAGTATGTAATCATATCGCCTAATTCTCTGATGATGAGACTAAACCTTTGACAACAACAAAAAAAAATCTAGATCTCCGGCTCTAGATGATCAAATAATCTTGATACCGTAAATCCATAAATCAGCCTTTAAATGCCATGTTCAAAAGAAACAGCAACTAAATTCAGGATTACCAAGCAAATGATAGGGATCGATGGATTAACGGAAGAACTTTGATTTTTTAAAAAAAATTTGAGAACACGAAAATAGGAATCTGTAAAGTGAAATCCAAAGCGAATGAGTTGAACCCATAATCGGCTCTCGATATGACAAACAAACGGAGGCGCTGATGCACTGGGGACTAACGAATCGAATACCAAATCAAGCTCAATCCAATCACACGATGAAAAGGCTTCCAAACAATCATCCAGCCAATCGATCGAGAATAAACATATCAGCGGTACAAACGATCAAAAACTTCGAGGAATATACACACGTTTCACGGGATCTAACGTTACTCCGATTGTTCATAAACACAGAAACAAAGGGAAAGTTACGTACCGGAGAAGGAACGAGCGTTCTTAGCTGAAGAAAGAAGAGACCTCGCGGCTCTGGAAGCCGATCTACAGATTTGGGAGTTCATCTTCTTCGGCGATGGAGAGATAGAGAGAGTGAGACTGAAGTCCGAAATGAAACAGAGGCCTCGCAAAATGTGACAGAATCTCTGGGCTGTTGGAGCATATATAGGGGGGATACTTGGGCCGGGTCGGGTAACAAAACCTACCCACTTAGTTGGGTTAGTGGGCCCAGGATTTATTGATCTGTTCACGTAACGAATAAACGGGAACCACGAGGGGGGGGGGAATAGTTATATTTACCAAAAAAAATTTGCCGACACAAAGATTGGTAATTATATTTTTTTTTTAAATCGACGAATAAAGTTTTTTTTCTCTCAACAAGTAAACAGTTAAAAGAGCGATTTTTCCATAAAACTAGAAAGCGTGTACTTGAATGAATATAATTCCCAGGAATTTTAGTTTTGCTTTTTCTCCCTCGAAATCATCATAAGTTCGGTAATTTTTGTTTTCTTTTCACCATTTTGACAAGATATCTAGAACCCAGAATCAAAAGACACCAAAAATCGGATTATGATAAACCGGAGTGGTCCACCAAATTAACGGATAGACCACGGAACCCAATTTCGTGGCAAGCCTTTAGGGATAGAACTATCTAACGGGATTCTCAATATGTGGCCACAATAACACTTGCAAATACCCCCCCAACCCTTCTCCCCCTTCATCTTCTCACCAACTCCAAGAAACACTACTATTGTGCAGAGCAGAATCATGGCAACTTCTTCTCTCACTATTCCGACCACGAGATCTAGGATTCACCGATCGAATTTCCTAGGCCAAACCCACTTATTTTCCACCCATCACCTATCAACTTTCCCAGTTCCCAAACAGCAATCCAACGTTCAGATCAAAGCCATGGCTAAATTCAATCTATGGGAAGTTATGGGAGGAAGAGGCCTATGCAACGGTGAGAAAGGTATCCAAAAAGAGCTTCGAAGGAACGTCGAAGATCAGGAAACATCAGTGGACGAGAGCAACAACCTAGAAACAGAGGATTCTTCGGTTAAAATACCTGAAAACGCTTTCGAGAAGGAGATGATGGGACTAACCGGAGGATTTCCAGGCGGCGAAAAGGGTTTGAAGACGTTCATCGAACGAAACCCACCGCCACCACCTGAAAAGAGAGGAAAGGGATCAAGAGGAAACGATGATGTTTCGGCGGTTGCCTTCCCGGGCACGGAAAAGAAGAAGCCGAGAGCACCCGAGCTGCCGCTTCTCATGCCGGGGATGATTGCCATTGTCAAGAACCCGAACAACCCTTATTACATGTACTGTGGCATTGTGCAGAGGATCACAGATGGGAAAGCAGGTGTCCTGTTCGAGGGAGGGAACTGGGACCGTCTCATAACATTCAGGCTCGACGAGCTTGAACGCAGGGAAAAGGGTCCTCCTGGGAAGAACCCCAAATCTTGTGTTCTTGAACCTCTTATTGAACAGATGCAACAAGGGGAGGCAACCTCTAAGTGATCTTCTCTTCGCCTTTTTGAGCTTCCATATATATATATATATATATATATATATATATGTGTGTACGTACCTTTGCTCCCAGGTTCTGGAGTTCTGACTGTGCTATAGTTTTCTTGAACATAAATAAACGATGGATTCCAACCACAAAGCATCTATAAGCATAGTCTGCAGTGTACGTTAACAAAGGAAACAGTTTGAATTCCATCTTTTCTGTATGCAATGAACATATCAGCTTCTATAGAAATCGAGTTTTAAGTATATTTAGTAAATCAAGCGAATTTGAAGATGTCTTCATTTCTCCTAGAGTCGAAACTCCATCACAGAATCAGAAGCAGCCACCCAACTGTCAAAATTTTCAGAAATCAATACGTAAGAAGAAGGATGGAGCTATCAACAAACTAAAAGAGGAACCCGGTTTCTCATCTAGGGTCAAGAAGAGTAAATAGTTTTAACTTTTAAATCTAAAATAAGAAACCATGGAACATATATAGCACATGTGAATCCACACAATTAGAGGAAGTTTCATATTGGTTTGGCCTGAACTGGAATAGCAATTAATTGCATAAAAGTGGTTACTTACCAATATTGCCTCGATTTCTTCATTAGAAACAGGCGTACGCTTTGGCTGCAATGAAGCTTTTCCACTAACAATCTTCGAAGCATTCAAATTCGAGAAGAAAAATGTATCCGCTTCATTTGCTGCCGACACTGCCTGATTCTTGCCCTCGGAACCTGCTGAAGAAAAATCTGTATGTGTCCGCTTTATATTTCTTCGTCATAGCCAGCAATAAATTTCAATACACACGTCTTCTTCATGGCAATCACCATCAAAAACTTTATCTTAAATACAGAATTCATGATTTAGAATGGGTGGGCAAGTGACGAAAAAGGAAATAATAAATGATCCGGAGCATCGTTTTCACATAATGAATCTCTTCCAATTCTAGCTTCCATGTCACTATCCCCCCCTAAACAAGCCTCCCATTGTCAAAACCGGAGTTTGATCTATTCAAAACGGTATCCATCATTCACATACTCGAATGCCCTCGAATCCAGGTATCTAAAATCCTGGAGATCTTAGAGGAAATCGATTATTCCACCAGTCAACAAGAGAAAGCACAACGAGATACTTTCTCACGGCCAAACGGATCGGCAACACACAAAAAACGATGGATACCACCACTATCGTCTTCGATTTCAAACAATGGAAACGTAAACAGACGTACGGATCAAGTAAGATAGGCCGATAAAACAATAAACTGAACATGATGAACAATAAGGATTCTACTGGAAAATTGAAGGAAGATCGGACATAGAGAGATTTGACAAATCAAAACCTGAAGGCTTCGGGTGTCGCTGTGGAAACTTGATGCGAGGAACCCTCTTCATTGCCTGAACTCCGTTCATCTCTCTCTGTCTCGAATTGGGGATAATGTTGACGGCGACTCTAGTCTCTCGAGATGTTCTTCTTTCACCGGCTACTGTTCTCCTTGTACAGTATGGGCCGTTTCGGCGAGTTGGGCCCAGTTATACTACTTTGACGGCGACTCTCGTGTTGTCTCTACATTTCAAATACAAACTACGTGATGTTTCAAGCTTCTACACGAGGGGATCTTTAGTAATTAGTTAAACGATAAAACATTGAGATTTGTATAAATAAATCTTTTAAATTATTCATTGAACCCTGCTTTTTAATTACCAAAGTGAAAAAATAACATTTAAACCAAATTTTAAAAGTCTAATAACGTTATAAATAAACACGTCGAATTGGACCCTGTTATAAAATATAATTATTTGTTTTTTTCCTTATTTTAACTTATTCAAGTATATAGCTGTGAGTAGGCATTCACATATGTAAAACAAAATCTTGATATGTATTTATCGAATTGCAGGGGTGTCAATCGTGGTCTGAGATCCGAGGCTCAAAACCCGACCCGGTCTAAGCCGAAAAATAGCGGGTTTCGGGTTGAGATATAGAGATTCAAAAAATTTTGGGTTTGCGGGTCGGGTTCGATTTAGGCTTCGGACTCGATTCGGGCTGGCCCGAAAAAACCCGAATTTAAAAAAAATCTTAAGAAAAAAACATATTAACAAAAGAAAATTGTGCGGATCGGCCCGACCCAATCCAAACCAGAGATTTTTAGGACCGGGCTTCGAATTTGATGATACAGGTCCGAAAAAAATCGGACCGGTCCGAACCCAAAACCCTCGGACCAAAGACGGGTTCGGATCGACCCGATTGATACCCCTATCGAATTGTGATCATAACAATTCTCATATAAGCAGAAACTTCTAAAGTCCTCGAGAGATTAGAGTACGGATTTGACTATATGTAGGTATAGAAAGTATTCAAGCTGACCATTTCAAAGAAATAAAAATGTCATTAACACTAATTAAGCATTGTTGTATTAGTTGAATAATTAAGGTTAATCAACCAATGAGTTTCCATTCGAACGCAGACTTAACCCAAAAGATAAGTCATGCTGCACTTTTGACTGTCAACTAGTTGGGGATGTTCTTTTTATTTATCAAGTGTCACGCCACATCAACTCCTGGAAAATAACAAAAAAGTGCAATTTCATAATATTTTTTTTGGTATGAGCAATTTCATAATATTAGTAATGTGTATTCACAGATTAACATCCTAAAACATAGGAAAAGAGCTTATTGTAAAATATTTTAATCACTGTAATATTTATTTTAAATTTAGTAATGTCTAGATTTGATTAAATTTATTCTGAGTTGAAATATTAAACCAAATTAAAATTGAACCGGGTATGATTTGATTTGATTGGTTTTGGATGATTTTAATTTAAATTGCACGTAATTTTAAATATGCATAAAATTCAAAGAGTAAAAAACTATTATAACTAATTAAAGGATTAAACAAGAATCATTTTCTATAATTTGATGGTTGAGTCATGAGTGTTTAAACAATAAGAACAACAAAAGAAAGAAAAATCAAAGCAAGAGTCACACGGCATCATCAGTACATATCGACGTTGCCCCGAACCATACGATCCAATTGGTCGCCCTATATATATATACACCCTAAACCATATCCTTCCTCAATAACCCAAAACCAACATTTACTTACAAAGTAAAAAACCGCCTCTCTCTCTCTCTCTCTCTCTCTCTCTCGTTCTTACACAGTGAAGAAAATGGTGGGTTCTTTATCTCACTGGTTCGAGGGGCTTCAAAGAATGTCCAAGAACGAAGGAGGAGCAAAACCAGTTTACAGAGACGACTTAAACAAAAAGGCCAACCGAACAGAAGATTCACCGATCACGAACAAGCCTCTTCGCGAGAAAGAGGGTTTGAAACCCATTCGCAGAAATACCGCGACCAAGAAGAAGACCCACAAGGTCGTGAGGTTCGCCGACGAACACACCACGATAAAGCCTCTGCCCGAGGAAGAAGGTCTCGAGCCACGTAAGGTCGTGAATTTCCATGTCGAGACATTACGTCATCAGAAAGAGGGTCTCGTGGTAGAGGAGGAGGAGGAGGAGAAAAAGGAGGTTATTAGGGTTAAGATCAAGATGAAGAAGCTCGAAGCTGAACGGTTACTGTCCAAACGCAACCAAAACGGCGGCGTTTTGGAATTCCGACACGTGGCGGACCAAATTGCCACCCTCCCCGTTCACCACGTTCACGTCGCGACGGTTTTGGTCGCTTGTAACAAGAACGATAATGGAGGAGTAGGAGCCGGTTCTGATTATAACAAGTATTTCAAATAAAAATCAATATAATATTTAACCAGAAAACCAGAAAAAAAAATCAATATAATATAAGTTCTGCGTGTTTTTTTAAAACAAAAAAAAAGGGACTAGGAGCTTTTGTGGGAGATTTTGTATTAAATATATTTAAGAGTAACAGTTTTATAAATATATATTCATTTTTTCCCTTTACTACCTATATTGCGGATGAATAATATAGGTTTCTGGTATTAGCGAACACTGTTGTCGGTGTACATATATATGCTATTAGTTATTATATATATATATATATATATGATTATAATGATAAATGTAAATGGAATCTGACGTGGATACAATTAATTTGAAACTTGATAGTTCATATGAGAATAAAAAAAATTAGATAACTTGCTTGAATAATAATTCAAATAATAGTAGCGTCCCATCCCATGCAGATTGGATTGTTTCTCTTAATTAACCTTGGGCCCATTGATTTCGATAGACTCGACACACGCATAGACCCACCGAACGGGAAAATTCAAAACAATCATTTGAGCTAATTAAAGCATTGCTCATTGATTTATTATTATGACAAAACACAGAATTTCAATTGAAAAACGTAATAAAACACTTCAAATAAACACGAATTTCACTTACTATTTTTTTTGGGTTATTAGGTTTTTGCCCATTTAAAACCCCGAGATCTCTCGCCCTGAAATATGACTCTTCTCAGGTGAAAAGAAGACCCCGGGGAAAAAATAATAAAAAATAGGCAAAAAGGCAAAATTATAGCCCAATAAAATGAAATTTAAAATAGCAATATATCAAAATTAAAATTTTAAAAATATTACGAGGACTCTTCTTCATTCCATGATCCTTTCCAACGACGGCCTCCACCTCCGGCGAGCTTCCACCTCCGTCGCCGATCTCTCTGCCTCCAAATCTCTTAGAAAATCGGCGATTGAACTCAACGCGCCGCCGCCGTCCTCCAATTGAAACATTATGAGTTTCTCCAACTCATCTTTTGTCAGAATTATTTTCACTTTCCGGTCTTTTCTCCTGTGATCTTTCTTCACCTCTTCTTCGACAAAGGCTTCGTTGCGTTTTCCGGTCAAACAGTTTCCCATTAGAACTTCGATCAAAATCAAGAAATAGCGAAAGTTGAAAATTCAAAAAAGAAACTTGGGGAGTGCCCAAGAAAAAAAAAGGAATTTTTCTTTGATTTTTTCTTGGTCGATCTGAAGTGGGTTATCGAGTTGCATGGAGCCATGTGTTCATTATATATATATATATATATATATATATATATATGTATGTGTGTGTGTCGTGCAAGTACGTATTAGGTTATGTCTTAGGTGTAACAGTTGAATTTAAAATCATGGAGATAAGTAAGAAGGTACATACATATTGCATAATGCTGATCTGTCGACTTCAATGTTCATATTTTTGTACTTTTTTTTTATTAGAGGTGTTCACATATATTCGTGCTTTATATATTCTATAACCAAAGTGATTATTGTTTGGTTATATATAACAATGTCATTTATCTCCAAAATGATAATACATTTTGGGGAAATATGTATTATATTAAGTATATATCCCATGAAGGGATAGATGGTTACGGTTAATGTATGGTTCGCAATTTCGCATCAATAAACCTAATATCGGTAGACCCTATATACTCGGATAGCGGGTTTAACAAGTATAATATAAGATAAGATTTTTATAATTTGATTAATATTACATATTTCATATATCTTAATCAATCAAAATATTTTATAATCATGAAAAATGAGTTGAAATAGTTAATTAATTTGGTTGGTTTAGTAATATATTAACTTATTATGATTGTTAATTATGTCCAAGCGTTTTAAAATTTTAATACGCATTATATAAATTATAAAATATAATGCACTTATATTAAGATTTAAACAAATAGAAACACGCGGCCTGGTCTGTTTCATAGGAATCTTACGGTTTGGACCGTCGCCAATTATTTATATTTTAAAATTTAGTTCTCTGGTTACAAAAATTAGTTTAGAAGACAAGAATGAAAGTTGGTGTTCTTATCAATGAGTTGGGCCTTTGAACACAAACCAAAACCGTGTTAGAAATAGTGGCAAAAGGACCATTTTGTACCAACCATCCAACTGTCTTTGAAATTTTATAATCATCATTTTAGATTCAATAATTACGTATAATTTTTAAATCGAAGTATAACCCACCACAAGGCCCCCAATTGTTTTTTGAAGTTATGTGGAAAGGGACACAAGATACATGCATCTTATTGTATTGCATGGACATCAACAATTCATTGTACGTAATAAATGATCCATGATTAGTTGGCTGATGAATCTAATATCCAAAAAAAATTTGACTTTCGATATTTTATTCTATGTTCTATATCTCTAGAGATGAAATTATATTATCTACACGGTAAATATCAGTATTCACGCTCAAGAAAGGAGTTGGCGGAGCCAGACCAAACTACCCTCGTGAACAGAGTTTCAGGACAGCAGACGCGAGAGCTGTTAAGGGACTGACTAGTTCTGCTGGAGCCTTACAATGCACCAGAACTTCCGTCTGTTAGACCATATATCTATATATACACACACATGCTGTTTTTTTTTAAGTTTTTTTTTTTTTTTTTTTTGATAATGTGATTGTCCAGGTGGGTTCGAACCTGTGACGTGGAGAAGCACTTTGTGCTCCCACGCCACCAGACCACCACGGCCGGACAAAAGTTAAAGCTTGTAACAGTGTTTTTTCTTGCTTTGATTTGTTTTAGGGCGTTGAGAAAGGGGAGTTGTTGATGATGGAAGGTCATATCTTATAAGTTATATCTATAGGCTAGATATAAGGTAAATTACAGATGGAAACATATATATATATATATATATATATATATATATTTGTTAACGAGGAAACATATATTTTGACATATATTTCTCTCATATATTTATCTATTTTGTGATTTAGTTACTCGCAAGATTTCTTTTTACCAGATTGGTTCACTAGATATTCGGTCCAATTATATTCATCGTGAATCGGAATACAATTTTATTACAATTAAATTGTATCATTATTCTCCAACAATCGCCGGAACACGAGAACAAAGGCATTCCTACAACTAGCTACACCACTCGGGAACACCATTCGGTCCTATCTTTTTTAACCAAATACACCACTCGATCGACCAACTAAATCAATTACTCGCAATCGCAAGATTACTTATGTTTATGATTTTATGTGTATATATATATATATAGAGAGAGAGAGAGAGAGAATCAAGCATTTAGCTAACCACTATTAATTACTTCATTAAGAAAAAACATTAATTACACGCAAGAGAACAATAACAATCCGTACTTTTTTTTTTTTGAACTTTTTGGGTGGCGCATTCTTCTGTCCGCTTGAAATACCGAAGCTATCTCACTCTGAGAAACAAATTCTCAGATGAAAAAAACCATCGGAAAAAAAATAGAAAAAAAAACAGACAAAAATTAGTCGCCCAGAAAATTCATTTTTTAGAAATAGAAAGTTTAAAATGTTTTTTTTTTTTAAAAAAGGGGGAATTTCATTCATCTTCAGGCCATTCCATGATCCTGTCCAACGACGGCCTCCACCTCCGGCATCTCCGGCGAGCTTCGGTCTCCGCCTCCGCTCTCTCCGCTTCCAACTCGCCGAGGAAATCGGCGATTGATTTCAACGCGCTGCCGCCGCCGCCGCCGTCGGCGTTCAGTTGGAACATAATGAGTTTCTCCAACTCATCTTTGGTCAGAATTATCTTCACTTTCCGATCCTTTCCTTTGTAATCTCTCTTCACTTCTTGTTTCTTTTCTTCATCGGCAGTTTTCATGTGGCTTCCGTTCAGACAGTTCCCCATTATCACACAGCAAATGAAAATTAACAGAAAAAAAGACAGACTCTTTAGGGAAAAAAAGGAAACTCGGGTTATACCCAAGAAAAAAAAAGTGATCTTTTTAATTTAGGTTGTGTGTCTTTTTGGTGGGTCGATTTGGTTTAGGGTTTTGTGAGCTACATGGAGTCATGTTTTTGGTGTATATATACACACCCATCCGTGTCTGTGTAACGATGTGAGATGGCATAATAATAAATAATAATTGAGCGGAGTTACATTCTGCGGATAACGTGAGATGCTGATCTTTATTTTAGTATATTTAATATTTTATGCATCTATAATCTGACCCAAGTTATATTAGTCATCCATTATATTAAATGTAGTACAAATTCACAAATATACGTAATAATTTGCAAACAAAACCACAAAACATGTCATTTACCAACAAAATAATGAGCTATAATCTGCGGATATTGGTCATAATTGGTGAGAAAACATGCAAAATATGCTCTCACCTGGGTTCAAACCCAAGCGTGGGGAGGAGGTATTCACATGGGTTTTCCCGATTCTCTAAGAGATGTAGTCGGACCAAAGGTCCGATGAACTTCCGAATTATCAAAAAAAAAAAAAAGATATTGGTCATAACTTTGGAAAATCCTTTACTTTTCACTCACTAAATATTAAGATTACGTCCTAAGTTTTGGATTAAAATTCCTCCGGTGTTTTTCTAAAAACTTGATCATATTTTTTCTTTTAAAAAACAGGTAATACAAAAGGTATATAGGAATCCAAAAATAAAAGAGGGTACTTTTGGATTTTTTAAGTTGTGAAAAGCATGGTTTATAAATTGTTTTCAGGAAAAAAATAAAAAAAAACATTAATTTTTGTTTGTTTGTTTGGTATAATAGCACCAATTTCTCCTTAGATTTGTTTATTAGTTTTATAATTACAAAATCGAGATAGACATAAAATTAAGAGGCTTCATACTCTGTTCAATTATAGACAAACAAAACCAAAACCGTGTCAGAAATCATGGCGAAAGCACATTTATAGCAACTGTCCAATTGTCGTTGACATTTAATAATTGTCACCAACTTCCATGAGCTCCTTAATTTTTAAATTTAATCACATCTAAACCCAATAGTTACGCGTAAAAGAGTATATATAAGAAGAGTATATTATCAAACATCTTCACCAAAAAAAAAAAATTATTATTATCAAACATTTCCACATATCATCATCTTCTTATGTACGTCAGAATCGTAGTACCATGTAAATGATCGATCACTAGCATGACGATTGCGCGTTTTATTAAAATAAAATAACTAAATAAGATTATAAATTATGCAAAAAAACCACGAATACAGAATAATTCATCGCAATTCTTAATATACAATATATATATTCCGAAAAAACCGAAGAAACTTCGTAGAAGTTGGGAAATAACAAAAGAACATGGCGGTGTCGTGACCCGACATCTTACACATAAAAGCTCTTAACAGCTATACACACGCATATATATGTGTGTGTATATATATTCTTAAGATAAAGCGCAACACAGAAAGTAGGAGACCTTGTCGAAGAACAAAGAAGTGTAGTTACGTGAAAGTCACTTTTGATATATATATACACACACACATACACATGCAATAGGCTTCATTCCATGTGCATGTGCATGTGCATGTGCATGTGCATGTGCATGTGCATGTGCATGTGCATGTGCATGCGCCTGCGTTTGTTCTTCAGATTATGAAACATTTGCTTTGATATCAGCTGAAGTTGTGGTCACCACAACCACACACACACACACACACACATGCATACACACACACAGTTGCATATCACCACCACCATTTCAAACGATTCTTTACCTTGAAGGGATCAAATAACAAAAAGTTTCTTGCAAAAAAGGATGAATATGAAGGAAACAGAGCTTCTGGTCATGATCTGGTTCTTTGAACTATAATAATACACAATGAAACATAAATTCACTAACTTTTATCCTTTCGAGATGCCCAGATTACGTACCAGTAGACCACGAAACTCTTCTTATATATGTCCTCGATGCCACGAAGAATCTCCATTTTGGCTACACATGGGTCGAGAATGCTAACAAGGTTTAAAGTTTCACCCTCATGCTCTCTTCTCATACTCAGATATTGTGTCCTCCACGTCAAGTAAATACCCAACGTTCCTCTGTACATTTCCAAGCTTTTCTCACATCTGCATAGGGTATTCCTCCAGTTTTTGGACAGAAACAGAGGTTTGCTCTCAAAAGGACAAGATTCTGGATCTGTCAGGGAAAGGGCAACCAGTCCTAGGGATAGTTTTCGAGTAGTCCTTCTTCTGGGAGCTTTCTCCAGCAACAGTTTTTTTTTTTTTTTTCCATGTGCCCTACCATTCTCAAGCTTGTCAGGTTCAGACTTTGGACATGCTTCCTTTAACCTTGGTTTTGTCTGAACAAACATTGGCAAAACCAGTGGATCCCATCTGAGCTACCCGTAAGTTTTCGCAACGAAGCGTCAGAAAAGAACAAACCGGCGAGCACCCTTTGCAAATGAAATCTTCATACACAGGATCTCCGTCCTCGGAATCTGATACATCGCAAAAGAATTGAAAGCATAATCGGATACCATCAGCTAGAAAACCGATATCAAATAAGTATCCAAGAGTCAGCAATGTTGACAAACCTGGCTTCTGACATCATCGGTGGATTTCAGACAGATTTTCCTCATGAAACTAGTCCTCACATATACAGCAAACCTTTGAAATTGTGATTGTAAGAACTCTCAGAATTTTCTGCATCTTTGCTTGGGAGAAGCCTCCATGCGAAAGCCCCAAACTTTGTGTTCCCACAATCATATTTAAAAATTTCTCTTGGTCTAGAGATCCAAACTCTTTCGAGAAGAAAGGGTATCGAGAATTAGGAACCAATTAACATATCAAATGAGATATCTCAGGACTGTAAACATAATCCAGCTATAACCTTTTTACTAGTTCTGTAAATTACCTCATATCCGTGATGGCATGACATGCAGGAAGAGAAAATCTCGTGCCTTTTTCATATTCTTCTTTCCATACGTACACATTCATCGTCCACATCTCCGCCCAACACCAGATCTGATTCCTTGAGATCCATAACCCAAGAAGCACAAACGCAAGTAAACACCAACCCAAGTTGTAACTGTGACAGTTTTAGATCAAAGACATACACATGCTTGAAGCGTTGGCGAGAACAGAGACCAACACAGACACACACATCAATCCCAAAAAAAAAGGAAGCACTCCTAAAAAATTGGACACCCATCAAAGTGGTGTGCGGAAAAGATCAAAAACCGTACAGAAAACTCGTAAAAAGGCAGCTAATTTAAGGTCAAATTCATTTTTTCTGGGTGTTTATTTTATTTATCAGATAAATCCCTATTTTCAAGCACAGAATCCTAACTAGAAGAACCAAAAAACCCTAAATGGCCCACACGGAGTTTTACCAGTTCTTCCGCTTCTATACTCTCGATATATTCCCAGAACAACGCAGTCGCCAGAGCTTCGTCGTCGAACTCGGACATTTTCGCGGAATCCAGATATCACGATCCGTTTATTCTTCACAATTATCAGCCTGAAATTACAAAATAGATGGCATTGAACACGAGCAAACGCTGTTCAAAGCCAAGTTAAACCGAGGATTTCCCGAAATACCCGGAACAAAAACCCATTAGCATAAGAAAACAAAATCCCTAGATTCTTCCGGAACAGAGTGCGGACATGAGACCTGGGCAGGAAATCATCCGGACCGAGGTGTCGATAGGCTTTGATTTTAGGGTTTTTTTACTCGCCGGAACAGAAGAAATCAATGGCGGGCAGAGAAATCGGGGGATATATACATATCTTTGACTTTATAAATATATACCAGTTAGTGTAGATGTATACGAATTAGTATTTATATGTATCACAATAACATAGATTTTTTATATAAATAATGGATAATCCCATATTCCCCCACAAATTTTCAAAAAAGTTCTAATTTCCTACACCAATTTTTAATTTGACAAAAAACTACATCGTATTTCAAATTTTTCCAAATTCCCCCACAAAATCTTAAAATGTGTTGCAATTTCCCCCATATCCGTAAACGACGTTAAGTTCCGTCAATTTTAATGCTGACGTGGCATGCCACGTCATACAGATTTCGCCAAATCAGCATATTTCGCCACATCATCCAGCCACGTCAGAAATCATATAATAAAAGAGGAATACAATTACAAAACCCTAATTTGCCCAAACCCTAATCAACCTTTTCTATTTGTTTATTTGGTTGTTTTCACCAACACATTTAAAAAAATGGTCGATGACATCAAAATGTGGATGAATTCCCTTGTATATATACGCATTTATAATAAATATTTTACTACAATTTACTTCACTTTAAAATACTTAAATAAAATAATAAATACTTTTTACAAGGGTTGCGGATAAAAATATTTTCAAACTATGTTATATTACAATATATTATAATTAGTAATTTTCAATTTATAACGCAAACCTTTCTCGAAACCTCTGACTCTTCCCTAATGACACATTCACATTTTCATTAATATACATTCCTAAGTGACTGAAAAACGAAAAAAGGCATATCAAAGTCAATGCATAATATGTATGTATGTATATATATATATATGTACACATTAAATCTGATATATAATTCTTTCGTCATAGCTTCTGCAGCATTTTCTTTGACAGGTTGTCAAATGATAATTTTTTCTTTAGCATAACATGTTTTGTCTCCTTTAGAATTATGAGCTCATACTCTTTCAAACATTTCATTTGGCTTAAAATTTAAAGAAAAATAATCTGAATAATAAATACATAATAATTATTTTTTCAACAGATATACATACCACTCATTTACATCTGAAATAACCAAAACTTACAATTGAGGTTTTTATTTGTATTTAAAAGGAAACTATTTATTTCTTGTTTTTATGTGGATCTTATATTGGCAAATCCATAAATATATATGATTTATGTCTATAATATAATAATGATTGAAAAAGTAAATAATATATATATATATATTATTTGTGTATATATGTATATGTAATTTTTTATTTTATTTTTAAAAAATAAATTTTAAAATTCTGTAATTTTTTTAAAAAAATTTTAAAAAATTGTGTATATATGTAAAAGTGTGTATATATATAAATGTATAAGTGTGTATATATATATATGTATATAATTATGTATGTAGATGTATATGTGTATATATGTATTTGTATATAATTGTTTATAGATATAAAAGTGTATATATATGTATATATGATTTTATATTTTATTTTAAAAAAATAAAATTTGAAATTATGTATTTTTATTTTATTTTATTAGTTTTTTAAAAAAATTCTAGAATTTTTTTATTTTTATTTTATTTTTTATTTATTTTCTGACGTGGCTGGATGATGTGGCGAAATATGCTGATTTGGCGAAATCTGTATGACGTGGCATGCCACGTCACCATTAAAATTGACGGAACTTAACGTCGTTTACGGATATGGGGGAAATCGCAACACATTTTAAGATTTTGTGTGGGAATTTGGAAAATTTTGAAATCTAGTGTAGTTTTTTGTCAAATTAAAAATTGGTGTAGGAAATTAGAACTTTTTCGAAAATTTGTGGGGGAATATGAGATTATCCCTATAAATAATAATAAAAATATTACATGTTTTAAAAAGTTTGAGAGTTTGAAATTAATAGTTATTAACAATGATCAGATTTTATAATTTAAAACGTTTTATGGAATTACATGTTTAAAACTATTATATTTCTATCAAAATTTGATAATATTTTAAAAGTTTATATATTTATGTTAGATTTTCAATAATTAATATATTTATACAGGTAAAAAAAAAGTTTGACAATTTTTTAATTTTGGTATTATATAGAATTCTCTATTTTTACTTTTCAAAAGAGAAAATTCAGAGCATATACACCCTTGGGGTGTGTGTATATATATATAGGGATAATCCCATATTCCCCCACAAATTTTCGAAAAAGTTCTAATTTCCTACACCAATTTTTAATTTGACAAAAAACTACACTAGATTTCAAAATTTTCCAAATTCCCACACAAAATCTTAAAATGTGTTGCGATTTCCCCCATATCCGTAAACGACGTTAAGTTCCGTCAATTTTAATGGTGACGTGGCATGCCACGTCATACAGATTTCGCCAAATCAGCATATTTCGCCACATCATCCAGCCACGTCAGAAAATAAATAAAAAATAAAATAAAAATAAAAAAATTCTAGAATTTTTTTAAAAAACTAATAAAATAAAATAAAAATACATAATTTCAAATTTTATTTTTTTAAAATAAAATATAAAATCATATATACATATATATACACTTTTATATCTATAAACAATTATATACAAATACATATATACACATATACATCTACATACATAATTATATACATATATATATATACACACTTATACATTTATATATATACACACTTTTACATATATACACAATTTTTTAAAATTTTTTTAAAAAAATTACAGAATTTTAAAATTTATTTTTTAAAAATAAAATAAAAAATTACATATACATATATACACAAATAATATATATATATATATTATTTACTTTTTCAATCATTATTATATTATAGACATAAATCATATATATTTATGGATTTGCCAATATAAGATCCACATAAAAACAAGAAATAAATAGTTTCCTTTTAAATACAAATAAAAACCTCAATTGTAAGTTTTGGTTATTTCAGATGTAAATGAGTGGTATGTATATCTGTTGAAAAAATAATTATTATGTATTTATTATTCAGATTATTTTTCTTTAAATTTTAAGCCAAATGAAATGTTTGAAAGAGTATGAGCTCATAATTCTAAAGGAGACAAAACATGTTATGCTATGTATATATATGAATATGTATATATACATATGTGAATATATATATATATGTATATATATTATTTGTGTATATATGTATATGTAATTTTTTATTTTATTTTTAAAAAATAAATTTTAAAATTCTATAATTTTTAAAAGTTTTTTAAAAAAATTGTGTATATATGTAAAAATGTGTATATGTGTAAATGTATAAGTGTTTATATATATATGTATATAATTATGTATGTAGATGTATATGTGTATATATGTATATGTATATAATTGTGTATAGATATAAAAGTGTATATATATGTATATGTAATTTTCTATTTTATTTTTAAAAAATAAAATTTGAAATTCTGTATTTTTATTTTATTTTATTAGTTTTTAAAAAAATTCTAGAAATTTTTTATTTTTTATTTTTTATTTATTTATTTTCTGACGTGGCTGGATGATGTGGCGAAATATGCTGATTTGGTGAAATCTGTATGACGTGGCATGCCACGTCAGCATTAAAATTGACGGAACTTAACGTCGTTTACGGATATGGGGGAAATTGCAACACATTTTAAGATTTTGTGGGGGAATTTGGAAAAATTTGAAATACGATGTAGTTTTTTGTCAAATTAAAAATTGGTGTAGGAAATTAGAACTTTTTTGAAAATTTGTGGGGGAATATGTATCAAAGGCAAAATTAGAATATGATATCATCGAAGCGATCTGTTGTTTAGGGCCACTGAGCAGCCAATTGTTGTGCGGTTCTTCATCTCCCTCCCTTGTTTTTAGCCTCTATCGCTCCCCGCGGTGGTCCCTTCCTCAGATCAGGAGAAACATCTGGTACGGATCGAGAGAGATAATGTCGCAGAAGAAATTCATCTTCGAGGTCGAGGAGGGGAAGGCATCTAGCGATGGACGACCTTCTGTTGGCCCTACGTACCGCAGTGTCTTTGCCGAGGGAGGATTTCCCGAGCCGATCGAAGGAATGGAGAGTTGCTGGGATGTTTTCCGGTGAGATTCTCGCCTCTGTTTGGTTGTTTGTTGAGTGGATTGTGTCGAGAAAACAGCCAGATTGTTTGTTGAGTGAATTGGGTTGGATTTTATGTCCGTTATCGTTTATTGAGTGGATTGTTTGTTGAAATCTGTTGGATTTTATTCCCGAGAAGATAATTTTGTAGAGATCAATCGTCATCGTCCTTGTTTCTGTTTAGCTAGCGGGATAGTAAGATCGTCTATTGATGCCAAGTGTTTTTTCACGCTGATTCGTGTGATAAGTCTTGTAGAGCGTAAGGGCCGCGTAAAGTCGGGCTGGTTGGCGTCTGGTTCGAGAATTTTTGGGCCCTGGCTCGATGGAATGAGTTGATTTTTTTTTTTTTTTTTTTGAACGTGCTTGTTTTTTTTTTTTTTTTTTTTTATAATCCGGAAGTTCACCGGTCTTTTAGCCCAACTTGATGTTATGATGTTTCAAATGTGGCATCTTTTTTTGTCCCCTCGGTGATTTTTTTTCCCAACTTTTTTGTCATCTTGATATGCAATCACCCTGTAATTCTTCAAGTTGTTTTTACCGGCCATGAGAGCTTATGAATTGCTTATGGTACGCTTAACTGGTTGGGTATTTTCTATATTTACCTGCGCTATGTTATGCTTGCAGCATGTCTGTTGAGAAATATCCAAACAATCGGATGCTGGGTTACCGGAAGATTGTAGACGGGAAGGTATTGTGGTTATTGAGACTTGGGCTTCTGATTAACTTTCAACCTGCTGCTACTATATTCATCTGTATATCGTTCTTCGCAGGCGGGAAAGTATGTGTGGCAGACATACAAAGAAGTTTATGATATTGTCATAAAGCTTGGAAATTCTCTCCGTAGTTGTGGGATTGAAGAGGTTAAGATCCATCTTTGCTGCCCCAATCTACCTTCAGTCTCTTAATTGCTTTTTTTACTGGAGTGTGATTCTTCTGTATCCTAATACTTTAGTTTATATATACGGGGTTATAGGGAGGAAAATGTGGTATCTATGGCGCCAATTGCCCTGAGTGGATCATAAGCATGGAGGTAAATGGACCTCCGATCTATCAGCCCTATCATGGTAATCCACTGCATTTTGTTATATGTTTGACGGTGGACTATTTATGCAGGCTTGCAATGCACATGGTCTCTACTGTGTCCCTCTATATGATACATTAGGTAAGTCTATTTGTTGTTCAGTATTTTAATAGTTATATATGTATTTAGTCAAAGCATAAGCCTATCTGTTTCCAACTAGTAGAGTTATATTTTCGTTGTACACTTCCAGATAGTTTTAATCTAGTATAGCCTAATCAAACGTTTTGCTGAAGCTGGATTTGTGATCTATTCTATTGTCCTAACTGTCCTATCTCTTATAGGTGCTGGAGCTGTTGAATTTATTCTCTGTCATGCAGAGGTCTCAATTGCCTTTGTAGAGGAGAAGAAGATCCCTGAGGTACAACTAAAATATAATTTTATTTGGAAGTTGAGGATTACTTCGAGGAAATCTTTTTTTGTTTATGTTATGTTCTCCCGAAACCAAAAACAAGGATCCAGTGTATAAACTTTGGTTCTGACTCCAAATACACTTAGTGTTTTTTCAACTTTGGGCTCTACACATTTTATCTATTGTTGTGGATTCTTTTTTTGTATTCATAATTGCTTTTCTTTTTATTTTCAGCTATTTAAGACTTGCCCAAGCTCCACAAAGTACTTGAAGAGTGAGTAATTCTTATTTGATGTATCTATCCTTAATGGTTTCTACATGTGGTGTTAGTAAACTTTCGTGCTCGATTATACATGCAGCTGTTGTGAGTTTTGGCAGTGTCAAACCCGAACAAAGAGCAGAAGCCGAAAAGTTGGGATTGGTAATATATGCTTGGGATGAGTTTTTGGAGCTGGTAGGTGACAATAATTTGCATTTTTTTCTTTAAATGTCTCACATGTATAATTGTTCTATTTTACAATATTGCTCTCAATGGCCTCATCTATTTCTCTCGTGGATTCATCATATATTCCGGTGATGTTCATACTTGTAGAATGGAATAGATCATATTTACCTTGCCTTGAATTTTCTGTTGTACCTCTGAACGACAGGCTGAAGGCAAGCAATATGAACTTCCGATAAAAAAGAAAAGTGACATTTGCACAATTATGTATACTAGTGGTACCACTGGTGACCCAAAGGGAGTGATGCTTTCGAATGAAAGCATTGTCACTCTGATTGCGGGAGTGGATCGTCTGCTGGAAAGTGTAAACGAAGCGGTGAGTGTTTTTTCTCGCTTTCATGAATTTATCATAGAACCCACAACTTTGAGGTAGCTGTTGTACTCGACATAAGTTTTCTTATTTGATTCTTTGTTTTGTATGTGCAAATATACAGCTACACGTGGGGGATGTGTTTCTTTCATATCTTCCTCTTGCACATATCTTTGATCGGGTTATCGAGGAGTGTTTTATTCAACACGGTGCTTCAATCGGGTTCTGGCGTGGGGTGAGTAAATTCAAAATCTTTCTTGGCACCAGATAGGAAGTTGTTGCTAAAATTTTCATTGGGGTGTCTCCTCAGGATGTCAAATTGTTGATAGAAGACCTTGGTGAGCTAAAACCAACTGTTTTTTGTGCTGTTCCTCGTGTACTAGATCGAGTATACTCAGGTAAGAGCTTGTGAGATATGATATAATAAAGCATTTTCTACCCTTCATTAACAGTGTTGTCTGGTTTGTGAGATATGTATTTATTGTCTGGTTTTCAAGATCACAATTAACAGCATCGAGGTTAAGAATTTTTAACACCACGTTTTGTGAACTTATGCATCCTGATCTACTTTTGGGTATATTCTCTATCTCTGTGTTATTGCATTAATCCTGGTTGGGAAAGCCAACAGAAAACAAAAGAAAAACGAAGTCGATCCATTTCTTTCTCGGATCCAGCAAAAATAAATATAGATGAAATGTAAACCATTGATAATCTGTTATCTCTTATGAACGTCCTTTAGAATATGATATAGATCTCATGTAAATGCCATGGAAAGCGGGTCATATCCTGTAACATATTTGTTATCTGACCCATGTGAGGTGAAGGGTTCATTCTCCGTTGCCAGTAGAATTGATATTGAAGCTTTAATTTGGTTCTGGTGACGGGGTTTCGTTTTCTCAGAATCTTGACATCGGGCCTAATCCTTCTTTTGATGCCTATGACCAAAGAGATAATTTGTTTTATGTCATCTCTCACCGACCTTTTTCTGTGTTATGTCATGGACCTATACACACCAACAGGTTTGCAGCAGAAACTATCTGCTGGTAGTTTCTTCAAAAAGAAAATTTTTGATGTTGCATATTCCTAGTAAGTCAGACTTCACTTTGCTTCTAATTTACTTTTTTTTTTTATCGATCACTGTCTTTTTAGCTACTTGGATCTAACACAATCAACATCCTCAGTAAATTTGGAAATATGAAGAAGGGACATACTCATGTGGAGGCTTCCCCCTTTTTTGACAAACTTGTGTTCAATAAGGTGGCAAACTTCTTTGCTATACAACTTCCTCCAAAAACTTCTGAGGTTCCTTTACTATTTTTTTTTTTTATAAAATTCAATGTTATTTAATGACTGTTCTTTCTCACTCAGGTTAAGCAAGGGCTCGGAGGCAATGTGAGAATCATTTTATCTGGAGCGGCACCTCTTGCCAGTCATGTAGAATCATTTCTCAGAGTGGTTGCGTGCTCTCATGTTCTACAAGGATATGGTACATATACATATTCACAACCTTGAGCTCTTAAGAACCTTATGAACACGTGCAAATCTGAATCAAAATTTGCTGGTATTGTAATCCTTCATCCATCACCTGATATAAACCTGGCAACTCTTTTCCCTTACAAGCTAGTTTCCGAGAGAGTATTCCTATGGGATAATGCTAATTGGTTGGGATTTAATATGGATGGGGTTCTTTCAATTGCTTTAACTTTTTTTTTAATCAAATCCCATATGAGCAAAATCTATTTTGGGGAAGAGGCAATCCAAATCTCTTTGGTGGGTTGTCGTGAATGTAGTGCTGAAAGCATCAATATGTTTTGATTCAATATCGACAAAGCATGGGATTCATTGATAGCTTGTAAACCTTTTGATTCAATATTATCGAAAGTCCAGTGAAACACCCAAGTCTGCTTTCTAAATATCAGCGCCTATAATCAGAGTGGACCCCCATTGCGAGGAATGGGCTAACTAGGCAGGCCACATCGATCAAATATGGGATTGGTGATGACTTATAGATGCTTGTTCTATCTGTAAGATTGTGGTATCCATTGGCATAGGTCGAATGTGGCTTAGTCTCTTATCATATAATTCTTCCTTGTAGGTCTAACTGAGAGCTGTGCTGGAACTTTTGTCTCGCTGCCAAATGAAGTGGAAATGCTCGGCACTGTTGGTCCTCCAGTGCCAAATGTAGATGTACGCCTTGAATCTGTTCCTGAGATGGAATATGACGCTCTAGGAAGCACACCACGTGGTGAAATCTGCATTAGGGGAAAAACCTTGTTTACCGGGTACTACAAGCGCGAAGACCTCACCAATGAGGTTCTCATCGATGGATGGTTGCACACAGGTGTTTTTTTCTTCTCTGAATCCGTATTTTTTTTCCTTTAGTTATGACTGGATTGTGGGCAATTGGTATGGTAATTGGCTAATTGCTGTCAAAACTCTAAAACCTAAAGTATCTACCTGCCAACAATTTGCTAGTTTTACACCTTCTGTTGCTGTCATTCGTTTTTTGCTAATCTGATGAGTTCTAATTCCCCTGCCCCAATCTTTTGATTCATCAGGCGATATCGGTGAGTGGCAACCAGACGGAAGCATGAAGATAATTGACAGGAAGAAGAACATATTTAAGCTCTCTCAAGGAGAGTACATTGCAGTTGAAAACTTGGAAAATGTTTATGGTCAAGTACATGTTATTGATTCGGTAAGTAATAGTATGCTTCCTCACAAATATGTGTTTTCAACTGAGGCTTGTGATCTATTTGTCTTCCTTTTCTTTTCATTGCTTCGGTTTACCATCAACTGCTAATTATTTAATCTTCTTGTATGCCCATCAAAATTGTTTAGATATGGGTTTATGGGAACAGCTTCAAGTCCTTCCTAGTTGCTGTCGTAAATGTCAGTCAGCAAGCCCTTGAACATTGGGCCGTGGAGAATGGAGTGGACGGCGACTACAGCTCTCTCTGTGAAAACGCAAAGGCAAAGGAATTCATACTCGGAGAACTCAATAAAACAGCTAAAGCCGAAAAGGTTTTGCCTTTTTTACGTTTTCACTGGAATTTTTTTTCTCCTGGATTTTTGGTGTGAAATTCTGTTTCTGAGTCTGAGTCTCTCTTTGCAACACAGTTGAAGGGGTTTGAGTTCATCAAGGCTGTTCATCTTGATCCTGTAGCGTTTGACATGGAACGTGACCTCCTTACGCCAACTTACAAAAAGAAGAGGCCTCAATTGCTCAAATACTATCAGGTAACTCATACCGGGTGATAGTTTTTTGTTCCGCTTGTCTTCAGATCTTAGAAGTATGAAATAGTTGTAGCAAGAAAAAATAAATTCATTCAGTTAAGGATACTAAATGGTAAAATAAAATCACGAGCTCTCTCTCCTGTCATTCTGAGTGACGGAGAGAGATCTCACTGACGGACCTGACGGAAACCTTGATGGAATCTGCTGCCGAGGCAGAAATGTGTCAACCCAAAGGGGGGCTAAAGCTCTTGCGTGTAAAAAAAGAAATTACCACGGCCGATCCGGTAACTCTAGGGCGCTTAGTTGTGATTTTGTGAATAGGTTTGGTTTTATTCAGCCGGCGTGTAACTGTGGGGTGGAATCCTAAAAGAATCACTGTGCACTTTTGATGTTTTTAGTATTTACACTTTGCCTCTGTTTCTGTGATTGCAGAGTGTGATAGATGAAATGTACAAGACTGCAGAGGACGCCCTAGCTCCCGGACGATAAGTTTAAACAATTTATTATAACGATCATTATTTATTTCGGATTCACTTGTCTTTGAACACCGTTTGTTGGTCTCGTCTATTTTCGTTAAACTCGTACACGATTCTAGCTTTAATTACTTTGTTATTCACAGTTCACTCACGCTCATTCCCCCCAAAAAAAAAAACAGCATCAGACAAGTGATGAGGTTGATTAACAATATGGTTTCTTGGGTTATATCTCCATTCGAATTGAAATTTCATGCCTTAAATATATCTAAAATCTTGTTTGATTCGATAGATTCTCAAAAACCAATGCTCTATTGAGCCCCATTAGATCGAGAAGGGGTGAGGTGTACCAGTCAGCGGTCGGGGAGAAAGGTGTCACAGAAGTTGCAGGAAAGATAACCAAAAATAGAAACTAAGAATAATGTTTTGAGAAAAACATAATTTTATTTCTCGATCCCAGACGACTCCCGATTGATGGGGTGATATTAAAATAAATTTCCAAAATTGTGGATTGTGAAGAATAAATTTTCCAAGTTACAAAAACAAATAAACAAAGCAAACGTTTATATCACAAACCGAACGCGTCTCCCTCGGCTAGAATCTCCGGTACTCCGATGAGGCCTTCGTCACGTGGAGGCGGTGGCAACGACAGTGGAGAATCTTGCAGAGCAAGCAACTCTTCTCTACCATACTTCACCCTTTGATCTGTATACACATGCACACACACATATATATATATATATATAAGATACGAGATTTATATTTTTCTGTATATTCGAGGTATTAAGCAAATGTAAAACCTTCATAAGGATCTCCCAAATATGGTCTAACGAGTTTCTTTTTGGTCCCGGTTATAACACGAATCTTAAACCCTAGTGTTCCGATCACGAAGCCAACTTTTCAGGTGTAAAATGAGGCATAATTCCAAATTTTAAAAACTTCTTCTACTTCAGTAAACGTAAAATACGTACCTAGAAATCCCCCAGAAGAAGAAAGTAGAGGATTGCGCTTTCTGTAGCTCGTCGCGGGAATCTTTGAAGGAGATGAACGGGGAAGCGGCATTAGGTCGGGAGAAGAAACCCGGGAGAAATCGTGCCTCACTTTGAGGTGAGGGTACTTCTTGCAGAAAACCGAGATACACTCCTCGCTCAAAAGCCAGCAGCCCTTGAGGTTGAGTGCTCTCAAACTCGGCTGAGGTTTAAAATTTTCGAGGCCATGGTTGGTCAACACGGAATCCAGGATTTCAAGACTGACAAGATTCGGGAGGGAGGAAAGCTGGTGGAAGGTGGTGTCGGTGAGGGACAGAGTTCTGATCGACAAATGCGTCAATCCACTTAAGGTTTGTAAAGGGGAGAGGAGAGCGACTTCTTTGAGGTATGCGGATTCCAGTTTCAGTGCTTCCAGCGAAGTCAGGGTATGAAGCGCTGCTAGAGAGAGTTCTGCTTCTGCTTCCGGACCTTGTTGTTTGATGAATCCTGAAAAAGAAAAAAAAATGTAAAATTTAGATTGACTGATATGATTTACAGGAAAATTGAGAGATTATAATCCTCGGATTAATGTATTGGAATCCAAACATGAATGCATACATACCTCGGATGCTGGTTTTGCTCAAGTCAAGGGTCTTAATAGAAGGCATCGTCGCGCTGATAAACAAGACAGCGTGATCATCTATAGATGTCTCATTCAGAGATAAAGTCTCAAGATGTGGTACACATCCAGCCAGAATCCCGATCCCATCTGTGCTGATTCTCGTGTTTCCAAGATTCAGACTCCTCAGATTCTCACATATACATGCTAAAAACTCGACAGAATCATCACTGAAAGCTGTGCAGCTTAGATCGAGATGTTCCAGCTTCGTCATTGATTCTAAGAAGCCGAAGTTCTGGAGGGAAGTGTTGGAAACATCTAAGAAGGAGAGAGAGCTTTTATTGTTGAAGAACAGGGCCTCTGGGTCGGTTTTGAAAGTGGCTCCTGACAGAACAAGCTTTCTCAAAGAAGCTAACGTGGAGCTGTGAGTTTTGGAAATGGAGACAATGGTGCATTTGCTCATGTGTAAGCATTCAAGCGATCGTGTGTTTGGAACGTGTGTGACATTGGTCCACGAGAGATCGAGGAATGTTAAGTTTGGGAAGTTTTGTATAAGAGCAGCACCTTTGTTGGTTACACTGCTTCCCCATATGTCGAGGTGCTCTAGCTTTGTCAACGCCTGAGAATTGAAAGAAACAGGCCGAAAGACTTGAATAACATTAATCACTTCTAATGCATCAACATCTCATCCAATATAATATGATACCAAAAAGTTTATAACCAAAATTTTAGCCTATTTTTTAGTTTGATCTAAAGAGAAACGATAGATTGCACGATTTATCCACCAATGCTGGTCCACATTGAAAATTTACAACGAGATCAATGACTACATAAGAAAAAGAAACGGGTAGAAGCTTAGTACCTGAACAGAATTCAAGTTGTTATCAGTAACAGGTAAGCCACCCAAGTCTAGAAGAGACAAATTTTTGAGTGAAGCAAGGAGAGAAACCCCAGCTTCTGTAACGCCTGTCTGTGAAATCCATAGCTTCTCCAAATTTGGAAGAGAAAGGAGATGCTTTATGCCAGAATCTGTAACCTTTGAGCATCTAGAAAGGTCTAGCTCCTTTAAACTTGCTAATCCTGAAAATTAAATACCGTAAACTCTACATTCATACAGTTGTCATGAAGTTTTATTATGTATGCAGATTGCAGACTACATTCTTGTTTTAGTATAAAATACCTGTTAAAGGCCAGAGCGTGGAACTGTGGATTCTATGACAGTCCGATAGATTTAGAGAAAACAGGTTAACGAATGCTCCAATATATGCCATCCATTCTGCATCGATGGAGCTTTCGCCTCGGAGATCTAAGTTCTCCACACAATGTTTGAACACTCTGCAAACAAGCACAAGTCTGGTTAGAGATGACAAAGATGAATGCGATTGTATGATACCATGAAAAGCAAGTAAAAACATTTGGAGTTCCCAAACAAGTAGCCAATTAGATTTCCAGAATAAAATCAATCAAATGATAGATTTTCTAAGATCGATCGAAAAAATGAGCAAACTAGATGATCTAATAGAGAAGAAAGGTACTTGAACAATAAAAGAGACAGCGATGGCTATACAATGGCATACAGATTCAACTCTGATCGTATGTTGCCCCAGAACATTTTGCATCATGGCCCTCATATATTTTGAATCATCTTGAGCCAAATTTCCCAGCATTTTTAGTCACATTAAAGTCTTTGGAGTTCTAATCAGGTGAAAATGGTTTTATAAACTCACTCAATATTTTACAAAAAAAAAAAAAAATCAAACAATAAGCTGTTCTACCGATGTCTGTAAACCAAAGGACCGTCTATGAACTGACAATTTCTTAATGTGGACGAGTTTTGGATCAGCTTTCACAATTTTCGTTCATATAAAATCAATTTTAAACTTATCAATATACGGAAAAAAAACTAGTCGAACATCTTCAGATCTAACGATTTGTTTTTTCACCCTCCAGATCTAAAGATTAACTGATAAATTTTCAATATGTAAATGAATGAACAGCCAGTAATCAAGTCCAATGAAGCAACAAACAGCTTTGTTCAATCTTATCTCCATGAAAACCTAAGATCTAAGAACTTATCCAAATTCCCCGGATTTCAAGTATATACAATAACTCGAAGTCGGATCGTTTGCCCTCGGAAAACAAAGAAATGAATCCAAAGTCAGATTCGTGCTACTTTTCATCCTTCCATTTTTATCCTAGAAAAAGAAAAAGGAGAGTTCAAGAGAGTAAATTACTCGAGCAATGACGGGAAAAGCAATCGGCGTCGGAGGAGGCGGCGGAGGAGAGAATCGGCGAGGTGAGGAGGAAGCTGTTCGAGGCTCCGCCGCCGGCGGCGCC